CTTTTCACCCCATAGAATTCATGGACAAAATGTGATGCATTCTTGAATAAAAATTAAAAATGCACCAGCTTGAGCTGTGTCCTTTTCTTCTTTTTTCCCTTTGAAGGACAGCCTCAAAAATTAGAGGATCATCTCTCACTGCACTTTTGTTGAAATAAAAAAAATATCAAGTAGATGCAATATCTGTGGTTCACAGATGTAGGCTGATTTCCCAGTTGGCACATACACTGACGTGAAACAACCTTAATATGTTCATCAAGTATATTATTGCAGCCTCATCCTTAAACAGAGAATCTTAATTAACTAGGAAAATAAGCAATGGATGAAAAATGTGCAGAAACTAGTTGGACTAAGTAGAAGGGCTAGAAGAACAGGAAAACAAATTTACACAATTGCAAAATTACCTGTGCCATTTCCAGTTACAAAAATAGTTGTATCTTTTTAATCCTCACACAATGTTTCCTTTATTTGTTCTCCTGGATGGGTGCAAATCTATCACAACAAGAGCTAAAAGAGTCAGTGACTAGCAGAATGAGAATACAGGGGGTGGAGAAAGTTCTTAGTCAAATTGTGTGACTGATATAACAAACCACCAGTATTCCAGCCATTGTTTTGTGGCTCTATCTCCCCTGTCCCATGAGCTGAAAGCATGTGTAAATACACCAGGGGAGCTTTTCACCACGCCAACAGTAAAGAGATAGCGAAGTGCTGTGTGATTTCCAAGCTCTATGTTGAAACTGTCCATGTGCTTGTGGGTTTCAATGGCTTCTCTGTGTTGTGTAACAAAGTAGTTGTCAGAGTGGTCCAGAATTTCTGTGTTTGCAAATAATATTCTGTGGCCAGCTTGGTTTACCACGTATTCTGCTATGGTTGATTTTTTGGGCTGAAGTAGTCTGCAGTACCTTTCATGTTCTTTGATTAGTGTATGGGCACTTGCTTTCAATAGAAAAGAAGAAACCATGAAAGTAAACAAGATTTGGCTACCTGTATTGAAAAACACTAGAATCAAGAACACCACCCAGACACAGGAAGTCTCCATACAGTAAGCAATCAAGGGCTTACCCAGACAAAGGATGCCTCCAGGCAACAAATAATTAAAAGGTTACTTCAACAGCACATTTCACATTAGTTTAACAGAAAATGGTTATATCCTCCCGCCTGTACAGTCCACAGGTATATATACTCCACTTGCGTGACTACCATCACATTCTCTGCATATGCCTGCCACAGATGCAGGCAAAACATCAGGAGAGAATACTGCTAGAACATGGCCAAACAGCCTGGAAACAACACAACACTCCAATGATTCCGGCCGTGAAAGCCTTTGACAATACAGTACAAAGATATAAAGGCAGGATGGAGAGAACTGGGACTTGAGGGCAAGCTTGTTTAAATATAATTATTCAGTTCATGTAACTCCTACTTGATTCTTACCATCCAACAAACATAACTTAAAATGTGTCAAAACACATGGTTGTTCTATTGGAGCAGAGGTGCAATCATTCTATGATTATGGATAAAAGCTAAAGAGACAGAGAAGGACACAAACTGACCTTGGCTGGGATAACTGATTCTCCTAGATCAGTGATGATAGTATAGTCCTCCAGATATTGTTGAATTATAACTCTCAGTAATTTTATTTCTAATGAATGCTGGGAGCTGCAGTCTAATAACATTAAAAGGTCACACAATTCCTACTTGCATCTTAGAAAATGTGGTGACGATGTTAATTATTTCATTTTAATTATTGGTAGCAGAGGAAAGATGGAGGGAGGGAGGGAGGGAGGGAGGGAGGGAGGACAGATACTACAGGTTTGTGCTCCTCAAAACACTTCTTCTAAAAAAGGATTTATGCAATAGTTTTGGTTTTTGTTTGTTTGGGGGTTGGTTTGGTTTTGGTTGTTCTTTTTTTAGAGAATTTTTTTTGTGGGGGGGATTTTAGCACTCTAAAAAACTATAAGGAAAAGAAGAGGAAAATAATAAAAGTTTGAAGGTATGAAATCAGCACTCAATAACTTTTCAGTACTGTCCCCAGCCAAACTCGATGAATACAAATGCTGTAAAAACTCTTAAGAGATTTAAGAACAACATATACTTTGTACAAAGACAACGAAAAGTATGGAGCTTCTATCAAATTTTTCTAACCCTGGGAGAAACCACTAGAGAGAGACAGTGTTTGGGGTTTCTTTCTTCAAATATATAGATTTGTTGAAGTTATGGGATTATTTTTTTCTTGAAATAATTGAATTGTCTGCATATACTCCCAGAGTACAACTCGAACCAACTTTAAAAGTTATCTCTACTTCATCTTGACCTCATGACATATTTTGTTTCTTCAGAAACACTCAACACCATCTTTCCTTCAAAGGTTATTCTCCCTTTTTTCCTCCTGCCTTGTCATTGTATTAAAGGACTGTAGAAAAGAGTCAGCTATCAACTCACCCATCATATTTATGCTTACATTTTAGTAAAATCATATTGCAGTAAAAGTGATTTACCATCCTTCCCTTTGCCCCTGACTCATGTTTCAAACCACTCTCCTTTTATGTTGCTACAGGGACAAACCATTTCAAGTACAGTGCTAAGCAATTGGAGGCTGTTTGTGCTTGTCATGGTCTGGATTTTTTATATGCTCACTCTGCAATCTGAAAAATATACTTCCTGGTATATTTACATCAATACAAGACCATCAACGAACATAAAAATATATCCCAATGTAGTGGTAATTTCTGGGTAGTAACAATTTTGAATAAAATTTAGATCTTACTGAATCATGAAAAACACCAAGATAACATAGTAAATTTGTCACATCTGCCATTTATTCAATGTCAGCTTTGGGTAGAACAAACATAGTACTAACAGTACAAACTTAAACATGTCTACTCAGATGAAAGGCTCATTGAGTACAATGGGAATTTTTTCTAGGTAGGTATGTACTAGAATTGCAGCCGCAAACTGTATTATATTAAATAAGTCAGTGGCTATAGGGCTCATAAGATAATGAATAGGTCAAACTACATGGCTTCAAGCCACAACCCAATTATACCAGGGAAGCCTTGATGACATTAATGGGGTTATTCTAGCATGAATAAGATATGGATTGTAGGCCATGTAACCAAAGCACCTTTTTTGGCTAATAAAACTATGGACATGTGAATATTTATTACCTTACACTCAATTTTTTTCATGTTGTTCCACCCAAAAGTCCTTCACAACTATTTGAAGGTATTTCAAGGAAAACAATTAGATATTGGCAACTCTAGAGCCAATTAGGGAACCTGTGCTCAAAAATATAAGGTACAAAGAGAGAGAACTGGTAGTCTTTATGATGAATTTGGATATAAGAAAGATATTAGTTTGAAATCACTTACTGCTGCCACCTCTACTTCAGTACATCTTGCTCCAGCACTGTAAAGCTCTATTAATGGGAGTGTAATATAAAATCCAGATTATCTGCTTTGAACTAGATTATATGACGTTGTAGACTCATATAATTTAGTTCAAAGAAGATAATCTGGATTATCTGCTTTGATAACCTGGATTATATGCAGTATAGAAGGGGCCTGAGTAGCAGCCACCTATGTATCTTGTCTGCCCCCTCACAATCTGAAATTATTAATGAATATATTTCTTGCAAGCACACCTCCAACACAGTTCCTGTAATGCTCCCTCCTTGCATGTCTTCAAGCTTACTAAAATTATAACAGAGAATGTACAAAAATAACAAAGGCCTTGTAAATGAGATTCCTGTGAGGGAGGCAATCAACGACAGTTGAGAAGAGCTGCAACTGGAAGAGCATGGGAACAAAAGATATGTACGTTAAAAATCACTTGTTTGTTATGCGCTCTGTCTTACTTAAAAAAACAACAACCCTAAATCAGTGACTGGAAGGACTCACTAACATGTCGGACAATATGTTCTTGTATTTATTTTCAGATTTTAGGTAGGGAAGTACCCAGTCTATGAGTTCTCTCATCTTTGCAAACTTAAGGGTTTTGCTGTAAAAGGTTAATGAATAATGTGGGCATCACCACTGTTGAATTAATGCAGCTTGACAACACTAAGACAGCCGTAGCTCAATGCCATGAAACCATGGGATTTGTAGTTTGACAAGGCACCAGCAGACTTCGGCAGAGCAGACTAAAGACCGTGTAAAATGACTACCCCCCATGAATCCATAGCATTGAGCTAAGGTGCTGTCAAAACTGCATTCATTCTACAGTGTAGATGCACCCAGCATGGAAGAACTGACAGCAGTGGTAGGTGTTCAAGTAGGATGCGATGATTCTAGTACTGAAAGGGACTTGAGCCCCAACTTCATCACTGTGTTTGCCTCAAAATACAATATCTAAGTAGCTGAAGCAAGCTTCCAGCATACCATAATTGCTCACGATGATCAAGAGTGATGCTATATCAAGTGATAAATTTAAAGGAACTCAAAAGGCAGCAACAGTGGGTCTTACTAGAGTTTTTGGCCTACACTGGACATCCAAGTACTACAGATGCTAAAGCAATCCCTGGATATAAAATTGTCTCAAAGTAAGGCATGTTTTTAATGGTGTGGATTTCGAATTTAGTAGAACCATTAATGAATACTAGATATGTATGGATCCATAAGCCAGTATCATTATCATGAACGGCACAAACCTGTACAAGTGCACAATGAAACAAAGAAACCACCAGAAATAGAAATTGTGCCCTTTGAGAAAATGTGATCTGGAAAATTTTAGGCAAAATATATTTTTTTCTAGGTGGTAAAATGAAATCAAACATTCTAGAATGTAAGTTCTAGAGAAAGTATATATCATAGATCTTTCAAGACCAGCTTGAAATATCAGTCTAGGAACTCTGAAATAATACATAATTTCACAAATCTAAAACAGGTGTTTTTATTTGTTTTGGAAGGTTTCTTTTTAATTCAGTACTCTGGTTTGACAAACCAATATATAAGAGAAACACACACATGCAAGGTAAGTTATTTTCAGCCATATGTACTTACCCACAGGAGACATTTCTGGTACCCCAGCTGTGTAAGGACCATCTAGAAATTTAGGTTCATTGTCATTGATGTCCTGAATCTTAATGACGAATTCTGACTCAGGCTCCACGGGTTTATTTGTCAGTCTATCCAGTGCTTGTGCTCGGAGCGTGTAGTAGGCCTGTTCCTCCCGATCAAGCCTCTTTGTAGCATGAATATCCCCTGTGTTCTCATCAATAATGAAAATGGAACTTGCCCCTTCTCCTGACAAGATGTATTTGATGGAGCCATCTCCTTTATCAACATCAGAGTGAAGCTGGTGAAAAATTGATGAGAGATGAGATTAACTTACAGGAAAGTCAGATATGAATACATGTTAAAAAATAATAATTCACACGTCAGGCAGTAGGACGTGAAATTTTTTTGTTCTTGGAGAGATAGGCCTAATGTTGATTATGCACAGCATGTAGCAAGTGATGGGAAGCTGTCAACTAGCTCCCGAGAGCCTAACGGTTCCATTTCATTCCATAAACAATCTTGTTTTCAAAAGTATTTCACAACAGCTTAAAGGGATGTTCCTCTTGCTGCAGTTTTCTCTGAGCATGAGAACTCATCTTAGAAGGTTGACAATCTAACAGTATTTCTCCCAGATACAGTATTTCAGCAGAACTCCTCTGAAGTTAGTGACTTGAGCTTTGGTTTATGAAAAGATTTCTAAATATTTAGAGAAAAATATTAAAATCCAAGTGAGTGTCACATCTTTATTTTTTATTAAATATCATGTGGCTACCTCCCGCATACAATGTCTTTGGAATTCTCAGCTCGAGAGGTCCTTGGCTTCCCTAAACTGTAGTTCCCAAAATTCTGCAGGAGGCAGCCACACAATAGGAGAATGGGAGTGCCTGTTTTAAAACACCAATGTGCTCTTGTCCAAAAGGTTTAAGTTAAATACCATACTTTGAGTGCAACTTTACACTGCAGAATTAATGCATTTTGACACCACTTTAACTGTCATGGCTCAATGGTATTGAATCATGGGAGTTGCAGTTTGATGAGGCACAATCACTATTTACCAGAGAAGGCTACAGAACTTGCAGAACAATAAGATTTCATAGTATTGAACTATGGCAAGTTAAATGTTTTCAAACTTCATTAAGAGTCCTTCCAAAATGCAGGCCCTATCGGACTTTTGCCTGAGGCATCCAAACAAAACCTCAGGTAAAAGATGATTAATTCAGGACAAAGCAGGAAAACCCTTCTTTGTCCCAAATGAAATAGATATCCCATTAGATGCGGGCCTTATAGAAAGGCCTGGGTCTAATGGGGTGCAGGCCTTGTGGGAACAGACTCCTGGGACTGTCCCCACAACCCAATTTGCTTCTTTGGGACCCATGAGCCCAGAGAAGCAAAGGGGGCACCCCCTTCCCGCCCCAAGCTTTTTTTAAAAAAACAAAAAAATAAAAATAAAATAAAACACCCTTACTGGGTCACCATGAATCTGCTCCAGCACTTAAAAATGATGTGCCAGGAGGTGGGGGGAAATTGCTCCCCCTGCCCACTGCATTGTTCTTATGTGCCAAGAAGGCTGCCAGAGCATCCTCATGGCAACCCAGTAAGAATTCATTTAATATTACATTTTTGGTGTGTGTGTGTGTGGGGGGGGGGGGGGGGGGGGGGGGGGGGGGGGGGTGGTTTCAAAAAAAAAGTGAATCAACACCTACTCAGTTGGGTGTCATGCATAGCAGACCACAATGTTTCATAAATTTAATTGTAGATGCTGCCTGCAAAGCAAAAACTTCACAAATGTCATGTAGACCAAACAAGGGATACGTGCACTACAAGAAAAAGCAAGAAAGTCCTGGAAGTTTTCTTCTAATAAAAGTCTGCAAAACGCTATGAGCATCAATGACACTCTGCACTGCATCTACCGTAGAACATTTCCAAGATTGTTACTCTTTTTGCAGACCCCACCTTTTACAGTAGCACAGGGTCTTTGGTGCATAGGGTTTTGTCTCCTTTTTTCTGATGTTGTAAGGATAAAGGAATTTAAAAAGCAGCAACAATCCTGTTTTATTCTATCATTTATTTCTTGCACGATATCCCTGAAATAGTGGGGAGCACACCGTTTGGCATAAAATAAAGGGGGTGGGGGCTTAATATACTGACAGTCCCTGAATTACAAACATCTGACACATATGACTCCTAATAACAAGTGAGAGAAAATCTACCCCAAGAAAGGGCGGGGGAGGGGGAGAGGGTTATCATGGGGAAAGGATGTCTCCACTGAAACTTTATCAACAATTCTTGTTTCCACGACAACCCAAACATCCAAAATCCAGTTCCACATGGACAGAATGAGGTGAACTCTTCTGAGCAATGCCACAGACAGCCAAAGAAATGTTACAGGGGCATTAATCCTTCCCTATGCTATCCTTCCCTATGCTGGAGTGACAGTTTAAAAATGTGCCTGTTCCAATTCACATACAAATTCAACTTTATAACAAACCAACAGAACCTTGTTCTTATTTGCAACCTGGGGACTTCCTGTATTTACACTCTTACTTACATGCAAGAGTGGTGCCCTTTACCCTGATCTGTCTCCACTTTCTTTTAGAAGTGGATAGGTTACACTAGAGGTTCTCAAACGTTTTAGCCATGGAGCCTCTTTTAAAGCAAAGGTTTATCGTAGAGTCCCAAGAGATGTTCATATATTATATAATGCATATATATTAGGCATGGAAAAGCTTTTTGACCAACATAAACTTAATAGTATTTTAGTGGAAGACCCCAGGGGCCATCCAGTCCAACCCCTTTCTGTTATAAAGGAAAAGCACAATCAAAGCACAGCCAACAGATGGTCATTCAGTTTTTGTAACAACAACAATAGCAACCCCAGGGGCCATCCGGTCCAACTCCTTCTACCTTGCAGGAAAAGCATTCCCAACCGATGGCCACCTAGCCTTTGTAGTAGTAGTAGTAGTAGTAGTAGTAGTAGTAGTAGTAATATCTGGGTGGAAAAGAACTGTCTCCTTCAGGCAAGCTACATCTCTGCCTTATTTTAGCAAAGCATTAACCACTCCCTCTATCCATTCATTCCTCCTCTCTTTTTTTTAATAGGTCAGGGAGTGCAAATCTCTATGTAACACACAAGTAGTAGCTCTCACATCTCCAAGAGTTCTGTCCACATCCTTGGGTTATACAAACTGAAAAATATTCATGACCACAGGATAAGCAGGGGACAAAGACATATCCATTGGATCTGTATCAATCAATAACATCCAAGTCAGAGTGGATCCGTGCAATTATATCTGCAAAGTGGCAGGCTCAGCCCAGGTTTTGCTTTGACATATGAGCAAGATTTTGAGTTAAGAGCTAGCACCAGCAAGAGTTCCAGTGCCAGCAGGAGCTCTGGCACCAAAGGGAGCACCAGCATGACAGTACAGGACTTTAGGGCTTCAAGGGAGCAGCCTCTGTGCCTTGTACTTTGAGCTCTTGTCCTCTTTGAGAGATTGCTGTCCACTTTCCTCATGTCCACTTTGAGGAACTTTGGGTAATGCTGTATGTCAGCCTGTTCAGCCTGTGATTGTGTCTGATGTTCATGTTGATGTTCATGGCGGAGATGGTGTTCCCAATGATGGGCCTAGGGATGAGGGTTTGCTTGTTCATTGCCATCAGCTCCATAGAAAAACAGGTGTCTTGTTTGGTTCCACTTCTTGAAAGAGAATGCTTGAAAACTATCATGTCCAAAGAACTAAGAGGAATAAATATTTCATGGCTCCACTTGATTCAATTGGAAAATGGAATAAAAACTGGGAAAAATTTAATAGACATTCTATTAACAGCAACTAGATTATTAATAACAAAATATTGGAAATGGGAAATGAAAATACAAATTAATGAATAGTATAAAGAAGTTTGGAAAATGGTACTGAATGATAACCTAACATCAAGCTTAAAAGTAAAGATGGGACTATGAAAAAAATGACTTTATTAATTTATTAATTTATTATTTACGACTCAAGGGAGCTTTACACATAAGCAACTATTTGATGCCATTAAAAACAATATACAATTAAAATGAGCATTTAAATAGAATTATAAAATACATCAAAACATATAAATACATTTAAAGAAATATTTGGAGAAAATTCCTAGAAACAGCACTGGAAAAAGAAGATGGGAATTTACCTCCACAAGAAGAATTGAACTTCTGATGGGATTTTAGAAGAACAGATGGCTTTGGATGGGGAGCAGGGATGAAAGAAAATAAAAGAGGGGAAAATGTACAATATATGTCTATATAATTGCAATAATAATAATAATAATAATAATAATAATAATAATAGGAAACTATCATGTCCACCACCCTAGCCATTTCTACATTCTATAGGTTAGACCTATGAATTCTTCACATGGGGCTAAAATCCATCAGCATGCACGAGTTTAGCCCAGGTCACCCACGGAGCCTGCTGGCTCCCATCAAATGATACAGGCACAGCTCCGTGGATGAAGGAGGGTGGAGCCAGTGAATGCCACCACCACGACAACATGGGAGGTTTCCTGTGTTGCCATTAGACTCAATGGGGTGAAGCTGCTTCCTCCATGTGCTTGCTCTCAGTTGGAGCAGGGCGAAGCAGGGCATGGAGCGCCGAGTTCCCCACATACTCCAATGAAGTGGAGCACCTCCGGCGACTATGTGGCAAGGTCATTAGACAAAATTGCCTGCCAAAGCAGCAAGAAATTCTGCAACAGCCACCATAAATTCATCCGAATCTATAAGCCTCCTGGAGCTTCCACTCCTGCAGAAGTTGAGTATCAGCTATTTTTTTAAAAGTTGGTTATCTATCTATGCCAACAAAACTATACACTGCTCCCCCACCCCAAGATCATATCCATATATCAGCAGATCTAATATCACATTACATACTCCAAGGGTTAATTCTAACTACAATAGACGTATTAAATCAATTAGATTTGGTATATCAATATTTATGGTATTTCTAATAAAATTGAGGCTTAACAGTTAGATTTAGCTCAATAATCTATAATCTAAGATGTAAGAACTACATATCTTTATATAGTATTGTCTGAGTAAGGACATAAAACATCTTGAAGGGGCAGTGTTATTTACAGAATGGAAAACAAAACAAAACAAATGAGAAATTGGATTTTTAATGCTCATTCTAATTTAAAAGGTTTCTACTTTAAAATATGCATTAGGGGAGGCATAACCACTGTTTCATTCGAATTACTACATTAGCTTCCTGCATATTTCTGATAGCGATTAGTAAGGGGTAGTTTAGTGAATGGTTGATA